TTTCAAAGTTCTTGCACCAGAAAAGGTAACTCTCCATTTATAACACAAGCTGATTTTTTTTTCTTTTTGCACAGATACAAAAAAAAATAAGTTTAAACAATACAGGTGTATTTACTGGCATCAGGAAAAGATGGGTTTGTAACGAACAACAGGAGTATCAATATAAATAATATTCTGACCCTAATTCTGTCAACAGAGCAGAGAATCTCTTCAGAGCACACTGCATTTCATTAGTAAGTATAGCTATTGGGAATTTTAACTCAAAATCAAGTTTTTTTCAGCATTTGAAACTTTTGAGTGTTAAAATACTCACTGCATACAAGTCAAAACTATAACTAATAAAATAATTATGTGCCAGGAATCATCGTACTTTCACTGAAAGGACCATACCAGTCAGGAGACTGAACAAGATGTTTTGCTATTACAAAATATCTTCTACACAAATACTTCCTGAATTAATCAGCTGCATCAAGTTCATTATCAGCTCACAAGACAGGTTTGGTTTTGCCAACAGCTTAAGTCGAGCAATTAAAATACAGAGGTCAAAATTTGAATGTGCTGGTCACACAAGTCTATTTTAATTAGTGAATTATCATCAACAATATGTTTTGGTATTTTAACTTCAAAGGAGTGAAGTGCTACAGAAGAAAGCACAGGCTGAAGCAAAATGTAAGATTCAGCCAAAAAAAATAACATTTTCCAGAATGTAAGTAAATGTTTGGTTTCTAAACTACTGCTGTTTATCTAAATTAGGAACATAATTGCATGACTTTTTTAACACCTGGGGGATTTCTGCTTAAGTTTGCCATATTAGATCATCATCTATATCCTAGAGCAATTGAATAAATGCTCTGGAGCTTCAGACAGCCTAAAAGACATCAGGAACATAGACAGATAATTGACCAATAGTGAAAACTGATAACGGCAACGAAAAAAATACCATAAATAAAAGTATGACAGACATGAGTTTTCACTATGACATAGACTAGAAAACCCCAAAAACTTAAATCAGACCGCAAAGGTGGGTGTGGCATACACTAAGGAGAAACCATCCCAGCTTTTTGCCACAGTGCCTGGAATATGTTTTTTGAAGAGCTAATAAAGAAAAAGCTAGCACTTTACCTAGAAAATAATTGCACACATTGTACTAAGCTTTGATTTCTGACTAAATCAAACCTGGGATCAAAAATTATATTTTTAAATCTACCCCAGTTCACACATTACTCATTAAAGTTTTTTTAACAGATACAAGTTGTATGTTTAAGCAACAGACAGAAAAATAAATAACACTGAAAAGTACTTAAAAGATGTTAGTAACATTGAAAAAATCTAGAAGGTCTGAAAAAAATCATCTATTAATCACATAACTGTCAGCAGGAATACAGCCAAACCAATTACTGTAGCTATTCTGTAGAAAGCATACCAAAACAGAACATTCTTTATGAACCACACGGACATGGAGCTGCACTGGACCTCTTAAACTGCAACAGCAAAAGTAGCAGACTCTGTTCCAGGACCTTTCAGTCTCCTTTCAAGAACTCTGATGTAGAAAGGTGAAATGTTTTGCACTCACTCTCTGAACACCTCCTATTTTATACAGCTTTATATTTTACTAAAATTTGACAGTCTGCCATGCACATAAAACTGTGGGATTCATTACCTGAAAACCAAACAAAACCACCAGCACACAAAAGCTGCTTCAAGATACTAATGTCTTAAAAAGTGTTACTTCTCAAATCATCATGAATCAAAATATATGATATTAAATAACCCCAGACAAGCACACAATATGTCACTGCCTTTCACTCAAGTGTTACCAGAGGAGGGGATCGGGAAGCATCAAAACTTGAGTTTTGCAATACATTGCACCTATGAAGTGTCTGTTAACAAACAGCAATGTTCATTTCAAATAGTGTGTTCTGCTGAGCTACCTGCCCTTACACTGACCAAGCATCTGTTCACTAAGCAGTCTTTAGGTTCATTAGTCATGCTCTTGATAACACACATATCAGCTTCTCAATCAGAACTGGTCACAGTGCTAGCTGGAATGCACACACAGCTAAGAGCAAACCATAAACTTCAAGGCAATCAAGTCATGCTGCAGTGTCTTATCAAAGCTTTGGAACAGACCTTACGCAGCTCATTTGTTTTTCAAAATTTAAGTGAGACGATTATGTAACAGCCACAGCTAACCTATGATAATCTCTGTTAATGAGAAATTTGCATTTGCTATACATTGGGATAAAAATTTACCCATTTCTAAGTGAAGTATTTGCAAAAGGGAAGAAATCCAATGCCTAACTCAACCTTTAGTCAGAAATCTGCTCTGTGTAAATTTACCAGGAACATGTGGATCGGCACTAGGGAAACAGAGCAAAGAGTATTACCAACTGTCTTTGTAATGGTCTAGACAGACATTTGATTAAACAGTTTAGCATATAAAAAGAAAAAAAAAAATTCCTATCTACTGGCAACTACTTCCACACAACAAACATCAACAATGCATGGATGTGATTTTTTTCATTCTGATAGAGATTGGTTTGGTTTGTGTTTTGCTGACTTCTTTTTTAAAGTACTAAATGAAAGCTAGCAGCTAAATGCCTACAAAAACAAAGAAATCCAAAACACTGGAGCAATGAATAGTATTTCACCACTCAGAATGAGTTCTGGACTTCTTTGAGCAATGCCTCAAAACCTCAAGCTCCTTCAGTGTGTGTTCTCCTTTCAGGAAGTCTTCCCTTCCTCACCTCAAGTACCAAAGAAAGCCACAGCATCAACTACACACCAACTCCAGCACAGTATTTGGCTGACAACCAGAAGCCCTGAATTCCTCTGCTAAAGGAAGCCAACTCTTCCCTCTTTTAATCCCCAAGAAACTGCCCAGAGTCCCACACTCCAGATAGAAGGCATACCTATGATGTCACAGGGATGACACAGAGCTATAAACCAGCAGCCAGATCCATACCCACACTGCTGGAGGAGCCTTCTCTGAGCAAGAAAAAAACAAAGGAATCCTGACCTACGAGTTTCCAGGCTGCTGATTAGAGAGCCACAGACAATTTTCCTCCAGCAATATCTGCACAGACTTTAAAGTAGAGAAAAGGGGTATGCCTCATTTGGGAAGTTTTGATCATGCTACAAACTCACCCTTAACAGAAGGTAAGGTTCTGAAGTTTCAACCATTCTCAGAAGTATTTTAGCAACTTCCTTTCATATTAATGAAATTATTATAATTTTGAAATAATTAAATAATTATAATTTACTCTCTAACGGAAACAAGATAAAGAAGCTATCTGACAATACCTGAATTTCTGGGACATCATGCCTGAAGGAAAAGCAGCTTTTCAATTATTTTCTACCTTACAAAGCAGCTTAACTCGCTCTAGAAGAAAAATTATCAGTTTTTTCAGATCTCGTTTCTCACACTAAATCTCCATATCAAAGTGAAATGAATCCAACAACACCTATAACCTCAGGAATCACTGTGAATGTATACCTTTGGAGGTGAATAGAGATTTGAGCATTTGCATAGGAGAAAGGAATATGACAACCAATGTCCTTCACTAAAACTTTGTGACAAGCCTAATATACTTTTCCAGGGATGAAAAAAAAAATCCCAGACTTTAAATTAAGAAAACAGCCCACACAAACCAATCAACCAAAAAAACACCACCTTCTAACACCTGACACAATAGAAGCTGACTTCCATATTAAATCCAAATTAAACAAGATTTTATAAGGACACATCATAGTTAAAGTGGCAAATTAATAGGCAAAATAAAGTCCAAAATTAAAGCTCAATTCTAAATTAAGTATTTAAGCACCTGGCAAATGAGACTGGATACTTTTTCATCAACAAGTCAGGAATTTAGCATACAACTACAAGTCATCAAAGTCCTCCCCTCCTGTGTGAAGTAGCTGCATTCTGCCAGAAAAGGGCACTCACAAAGGAACAGGATTTTACTCTTCTCTTGCAGCCTAAAGAGAAGTATGGTTTGCATCTTCTGTTCTACATGAAACCTTGTCACCATCACTGAAACTCTTCACACAAGACTGCCTCTAACCTTGCTGAAAGTAGAAAGAAATCTAGGATTTGCACCAAGTCTATTACTCATGACAAAGAAGTTTAAGCAGTTATATTACTCTAAGCTAATAGAATTTATACTTGACCTACTCCTTCTTAACAAGAAGGTTGTTTCACAGGGAAGGCTCTCTTAAGGAGAAGGTATATTCAGAACTCCAAGCAACATCTTACCAAGAAAGCCAGAACACCTTGTATCACTCCCATGCCTATTAGTACATGTTCTCTTTAATAGTATACCTATTTCTTTTGCTATTTTGTAAGCTTCATCTGGTGTATTGGCAACCACTCCATGTGGAACAGAAATGCCAGCCTCCTTCAACAGTCCCATGCTCAGGTATTCATGGAGTGACAGCCTCCTCTGTTGCTGTTGTTGCACTTGAAACCCATGATTGTTGAGTATTCCTGGACTTCCAGCAAGCACCTGAAAAAAAAAAAAAAAAAAAAAAAAAAAAAGAAAACAAAAAGAAGAATGTGACTGTTGTGAAAGACTACCCTCTTTGTTTAGGTTAAAAAAACCAGTCTACATATTAAACAAGCATAATTTAGTGTTCCAGTGCAAACACCTGAACATTTAATCCTACCCTTCCACATTAGTCATTCATATCAGGTCTGGTATTTGATTTTGTGAGGTTTTATTGGGCAGGAGGAAAGAGCTGGTGAAACTACTAGCACTGACAAGGACTGTAACATAAAGATCAACAACAACAAACACAAAAAAAAGTTTGCTGCATTTTTTGTATTTCACTATAGGTAATTAAGACCTTAATTTTATACACAAACAAAGCAAGAAATCTACTGAATTCAGTAATCCATGAACATGGATGATCACCAAAAGACTCACGATAAAAAGATTACAAACAAAACTTACATACAAAACTTTTACTTTTATTTTTATTTTTTTAGTACGAACCACTGGCACAAGCACTGCAAAAATCAGCCTGAACTAGGAAGTTTCTAACAAGCTAGATTTTTAAGGCTTCATTTCACTTCAAATAAAGGAAACAAGCAGACGACACATGAGCTTTACTACAGCATTCCAAGCTAGCGAATCCCTAGGCCCTAGCCTCCAAGGGATTCCTTCTCCAAGCAGGACGTCCTCTCCTTGGCACGACTCCAAGGGAGAGGCGCTGAGCGACCCGCCGGCCCCGGGAGGCTGCGTGTAACTCGAGAGGGGCACTCACGGCGACCTTCCCCAGTACGTGGCAGGAGGAGAGGGTGGCAGCGAGCGTCACACACCGTGTCACACACCGTGTCACACACCGCAGCCTCCCGAGCGCCTTCGTGTCACCGCTTCCCACGGGCGCTGCAGCCAAAAACAAGCCCGCATCCCCGAATGGCATCCACAGGAACCGAGAGCACAGGCTGGCGAGATGCGAGCTGGAAGAAGAGTTTAACTAGCACAGCCCGACCCCTCCTACGAGCAAGGTGACGGCGGACATGGAAACACGGAGAATTCCAAGCAAGACAGGGGACGGGGGCGCTGAAAATGAAGGGAAAAGGAACCACGCAGGGAAGACTTGCCACAAGCAAGAACAGCGGCTGCGGCGGGCCGCACACCAAAGGTGAGCGCCGGGCTGCCAGCCCCGCCGCAGGGCAGGGCAGGCGGCGGCGGGAGTGCGCCGACGGACGCTCCTCTCCCGGCGCTCCGAAGGGAGTGACCGCGACCCCAGCCGGCCCGGCCCAGCTTCAGCCCCGGCCCAGCCCACCCCCGCTCCCGAGCGGCCGCTACCTTCCCCGCGGTGGAACCCAGCGAGGCGCGGAGGCCGCTGCCCCTCAGCCCGGCCGCCACCCGGCTGCAGATCATGGAGGCCGCCATGGCTGAGCCCCTCCGCCCTCGGGTGCCCCCGGCAGCGCGCACGCGCCGCTCGCGGGCCGGGGCGGGGCCAGGAAGCGCCTGGCGCGGCCCCGCCCCCACAGTGACGCCCGCCCGGCGCCGCGGAGGAGCGGCTCTGAGGGGCGGCTCCCGGCGTCTCGTTCTTTCCACAATTTTGGTTTTAATAAAGGGTTTTTTTGCTTGGCAAGGATCCTAAATGGGCTGTAATCCACCCACAACCTTCCGACCATGTCGGCCTCGGTTGCCACCACCTGTTAAAAGGGAGGAAAGAGGCACAGCTCCCTTACGCCACGCCCACACTCTCCCTGTTCAGCTTCCCAATAGAAGAACTTACAGTGTTTTCACTCCAGAGGATTACTTTTTTTGGTTTTGTATTTCAGGGTGTTTCCGTGCAGCAACGTAAACACAATTATTCTTGCTTAAGACAAGGGGGAATGGTTTTAAAGTGAAAGAGGGAAGGAAGGAGTTCTGTGTTGTGAGGGTGGGAGGCAGTGGAACAGGTTTCTCAGAGAAGCTGTGCATGCCCCATCCCTGACAGTGTTCCAGGCCAGCCTGGATGGGGCTTTGAGCAAGCTGGTCTAGTGGAAGGTGTCCCTGCCCATGGCAGGTGGGTTGGAATTAGACAATCTTTAAGGTCCTTTCCAACCCAAACCATTCAGTGGTTCTATGACTGAAATGAGGACTAGTATTTCCAGATACTTTGCAGCCCCTTCCCCATGCCACAGCCCCCATTTCTGCCTCGCACAGCTCCATGCTGTGCCTCCCCCACTGCGATTCAGTGTCTGTACTTTGACTTTGGTGGCCTCGACTCAGGTCACTAAGGAACTGAAGCAGGGGACAGGCGTCCCTGCAGAAACTAGTGACCAGAACTTGTGATTCACTAGCAAGCAAAGCTTTTTCCTTTAAAACAAAATGGTAATTAGGAAAATAGCATTGGCCTGGGAAATTGGAATAAGAACGTCCTCTGCCCATAATAAGGAAAAATACAGTTACTTCCATACATTATGAACATCAAAGCAAGATCTGATGTGAAAGAAAGCCATGTCAGAGCTGTGATTCTACTTGAGTTTTGTCACTTGAGTTAGCCAATAAATAACTGGATGAGTTGCCTCTTTTTATTCTGAAACTGAAAATGCATTGTCATAACTTCTCCTTGGATGAGTATTGCAAAAGACGGAGTCATTCTGGTTCAGTTATTTTGCTCCTGGTCCTCCGCTGACCTGGTGTTATTGTCACCTGTTAGCACTGCAGTGAGCTCTGCAGCGTGCTCAGCTCTGCGCCTCTGGGCGCAGACACACAAGGTAGGAGTACGTGTCACTGAAACTGTAAGCAGCTGCAAAATTCTGATAGACCATCCAAGATTTCCCACCACAGCTGATAAAATATTTATTCCAGCCAAGGGGAAAGGAAGAACAAGCACTTGAACTCTGTGCTCTTTCTGCCCTCCGTACACACAGTGGCTCTTCACTAGTCACAGGACCTGCACAGTTCCATACTGCACAGGACAGTACATGGATGCCATTTCCACATACAAAGAAATCTCCTAACTCCAGGAGACTCCCCAAAATGACCTCCACCCTGGAAAGGATTTGCAACAATGTTTACAAGAGGAGCAATGGATCTTGGCAAAACTTTAAACCTTAACCTTAAAAGCCCAAAGCTACTGTTCAGAGATAAGTACTGGCTGCATGTCAGGAAACCAGACTTATATCCTGCCTCAGTTGCTTGCTACTGGAAGGAAATTGGACAACTGTCTCTGGGCTTATGATTAATTCTTGCCTTAGCAAATGACTGTAAGACATTCAGATTACAACTACTACTGTATCTTCTCCTCACTAGGAGTGACTTATCCTTCCAGTTTCAAAATTAAGACGATTTTTACTTTATACATCAAAAGAAGAAATGTCACATGGGTGACAATATTGAAGGACTTTTAGAAAGACTGAGGCAGCTGCTGCCACTATCTAGAGTCTGATACACAGCTGTATGGAGAACTTTAATTATCTGAATGTTTTATTGTCTGTTTTCCTCTTGGCTGTGAAAACTCGCCTAACTGGGGTGGACTGTAAACATGCCTGGATTTCTGTCTGATCACCAGTGCCACCGCCTGGCTCTGACTGTCAGCACAAGGTGCTTGTAAGCCCAACTCAAAATTTTATGGAAATGACACATTCACCTTTTCTTTATTTTTTTAGACACACAAGAAAAGATAATACTCTTGGCTACAACCAGACAAATTCCTACTGAGTCCAATATAAATTCAGGTTTGTATAGGCTCAGCCTTGTTTAATATCTGACCTACGATTGAAGAGACTGCACAAGGAATGCGCTGTAGGATTCCAGCAGATATCCAGAGGTTTTGCTAAATCTCCAGGAAAAGATTTCATCCTATTCAAAGTTTAAAATTATGAGATTTCTTGCTAAAATCAGAATAAGATTTTTAGCAAAGGATCAAGGCCCTCTCTGAAAAGCTGTGTTTAAAACTATAAAGAAGCAGAGGAAAGGTACATTACAAATGAGATAGAAGGAGCCAAGAAGTTTTAACGAACAAGCATCCTGTTTGAGGCCAAATATAGCATCCTGCAAGGCTCAGGCATTATGAGTGGACATGAATTTGCTTTATTATAAATTTATCACATCCATGCAGTGACAATGGTACAATCTGATTTATTTCCCAGACCTTGTAAGCTCCACTGGTTGATACTTTGTAGTTGAAAAACAGCAGGAGAGAGGGTCTTGCCAAGAACATCAGAGTCAGAAAGTGAAATCCTCTGCCAAGGCCATGAGTTCAGAGGGTAGGAACTTTCCAAGATTAAATTTATCATGGGCTTAAAAAGCATCCCAGCATCTGTGGAGAAAATCACCCTGAGCTTTCCAGAACACTTTTAGTTGAAGACAGGATGGAAGAGCCCACTTTTTTGGTATGGTAGATGAGTAAACAGGTTCAGCTAATGAAGTAGCCATGCTCAGACCAAAAAAAACTTACTTTGAAGCAGAGTGAGAATAATCCTTCCATGGTGTCTACACTGCCTTACATTGCATGTCTTACACACGCTGGATTCTCTCTGCATTGCTTGTCTGCAGGAGTACCATCATGGTTGTCTCTGGACAAACTGCAGGTTTCTAAGGGGACCTTCAGGCATATCTAACAACATGAAACTATTCACTGCACCCATTTGCAATATTAACAGGTTATTCCATCACTTCTCCCAGTCATACAGAAAAAACAATCCAGGGTCCTTCCCTGAAGGTGCTCCAGTGTATCTCCTGCAAGGATTCTAACATCTGTCCCAGCAAACAGGCATTTGGTGTGTGCATTCTCAGGTCTGGAAAGGTGCAGTTTTCTACAGAATACAGTATGAACATTAATCACTAATGCACCGTCTCTTCTCAGCCAGGAAAGGCTGGTGAAAGGCTCAATGGAAGGAAAAGGATTTGGTTTGCAAAAAATGATCTTTCACATAGCTAAGCTGTGGAGCACCTTGCCACAGATGCTGAAATGATGAAAATTTACATGGGCTTAAAAGGAGTCTTGGTAGGTTAAAGAAGAGGGTTAGTAAATACACAGAAGCCAGAAGCCACCTCTGCCTTGAGAAGTCATTGAGCCACAGATGGCTGTAGAATCATAGTCAAAAACCCTGTCATGATTTCTTGCCTATTGTATTCCAGACACCCATTCTGGACCTCCAGGTACTATCCTAGATGGATAAGGAATAGACACTTTTATATTCTTCTGATTTAGGGTCTCCTGGGATTGAGTACACCCAGAACTTTCATCAAAGCTGAAGCACAATCCATCTTCACCCACCTATGAGTTGCCCAAGGTTACTTAAAATGTTAATGACAAAGCTACACATAAAACAGAATTGTCTCAGCACCTTCACTCATTCCAATGACTCAGTCCTGTCTGGACACAGAAAAGAAATAATTAACAAGCAATGAAGACAGCACACCTGTAGTACAGCTGTAATTTGTCCTATTGCTCTTGCACACACCATTATTCTCTCCACGTGTAAATGTGATCAGAGGTTCTTTACATTTCAACATAAAAACTACATATCACACTTTGCCTGATTTCCACTAATAATGTTTATGAAGCCATAATATTACAGCAAGCAATAATTTATGGTGAAAGACAGCCATTTAATGGAAACATGAGACGTCATGGAAATTATTCTGCTAAAATAAAAGTGAGGAAATAGTTAACAATTTTCAATGTCAGGGTTCAGGATAACAACGAGCTCCTTGAATGCGAGAGAAGAAAAATCTTTCAAGTTCAAGTTTCAGCCAGGTTGCTGGCAGGACTTTGGTGTCATGCACTGCTGTCACATTCCCCCCAGCTTCTGAATGCCAGCTTTGCAGTAAAATATTTAAATATAATCCTTACATCTCCCAGCTCATACTTCTGCTAAGAAAATGCAAATATATAGTAAATTCCACAGCCAGGGAGCCACGTGTAGGAAATTCTCAGAAAGATGGATGTTTTCTGCTTGTGTAGCTGCTTTTCAATAAGTTGTTTTATAGTGTGTGCTTTTCTAACCTGCTTTCCCGATGTGTGCTCCTCTTAGGGAACAGCTGTGTAATCATTTAATCTGGCATAAATCTGGCCTGTCTCTAACATGGTTAGTCTTACCATTCTTGTTCCCAGCTGCTCTGACTCACTGCCTCCCTCACTTATGTACCTGAGCTGTAAATTGAATCAGGGATCACATCCTACTAAAACCGTCATCTCTCTCCCAGTTTGCTGAGTCAGGTTTAGCTTTGTGCTGTGTTTAATCTGATTGAACTCTGTCCTGTCCCCTCCCTGGGCCACCCACAGCATGCTAGAAAACAAATTAATGAAAAAAATAGGGTTTTTTGATCCAGATCAGCTCAGACATACAGTCAATTCAATAACACTTCAATCAATAAAAGCATTAGCATAAGGACCAAGGAATTTGGCCTGAAAAATATCTGCCTCTCTTCCAGTAGCTGCTGGACTCATGCTGGTTTAAATACACTGTTTTGGCTCACAGAAAACATTTCTCAGATGAAATATTAATAAACAAGTTTATGAGTATATATAAATCATACTCTTGCAAGATTTACAACATACTGCTGTAGCAGATGATTTTGCTACTTTCTTGTTCTTGGTTTATTCCTGTATCTTTCTTCAGTGGATGTTTGTTCACCATCAGACTCAGAAAACCAGTCTATATTTACTTGATCTGCAATATGATCTGCGTGATCTGCAATACCTAGCTGCATAGGTATGTCCTAAATAAATCCTAGAATGAAACCAATTAGAACAGATTCAGTCAACAAAATGCTTCTTTTCATACAATGTTATTTATATTAATGATCACAAATGTAAGGTGAAAAAATTGAAACAAATCTAAACATCTGTATACAACCAGATTTCAAAACCTTAAAAAAAATTAGCCATTTTAAAGTTTTGTGAAAGGGTAATACTTCATGTATTTGTTGTGATCAATAGGATGGTAGAGAGGAAGAGAAAATCTTAACCTACTGACAAATAAAAATATATTATTTGTAAAAACATACTTTTTATACTCTACATAATCATCTTCATATAAGATTTTCATTGAATTGTATCCTGCTAATATAGTAAACAAGCATAATGACCATATGGACATTTTTATTTTTTTTTTGCATTTAAAAATAAATCAGTAGAATGACAATGGGTGACCCTCAAGACTTGTTACTAAATGCTTTTTGGTAAAAGGTACAGGAAAATGGTGTACATAGAAAGTAGAATGTTTTCATTGTTCAGGTAAAAAACTTTTTGTTGTGTTAATGTATTGGACCAAAATGAGCTTGGTTGGTGAGGAGGAATCTTTAATATGGCTTTTGTAAGATCATTGTCTTAAAATGTAAATACAGAAGTGATATAACTGATATGTCTGGTGTTTCATCTCGAGATTAGGATACTCCTAATGGATATCCTCATGGATTAGGATACTTAGAATACTCAGCTATACTGGGGTCACAGGTACAAATGAATGAGCTTGGTTTACAAAAAGTCTTGTTAGCTTGGCAATTTGCCCAAGATTATTTATTATTGTTATTATTGCTGTTACTACCAATGTCAGTAATTCAGGGTATGGGCTGACACCACAGTTAAGCAGCATGGCCAAATACTGCCAAAGGGTAGCCTTGCTTCTAGCACACCCAGCCATTTGCTCCTGACATGCCCTTCATGCCAACACTGGGACCCATCTGATGCTGTGTTGAGTCACTTTGGGCAGTTAAACCCCAAAAAGCTGATGCCAGAAAATGTGGCTAAGCTTCAGAGAGTTTGGCCCTGTGACCTTCATATGTAAATAAATCATCTGTACATAGGTATTTTAAAACCTTACAAAAAACCCAAAAAAAAAAAAAAACCAAACCAAACAAAACAAAACAAAACAAAAAAAAAAAAAAACCAAAAACCAAAACCAAACCAAACAAAAAATAAAAACCAAAGCAAACAAACAAACAAACAAAAAAAAGCCATCCAAAACCAGCCAAACAAAAACCCAAAACCAATCTGAAAGGTCTGCAAATAAAAAACTTATTTCTCTGTTGTGATCAATAGGGTGAAGAAGGGGAAAATCTGACAAACTTTACAGTTGTTTATAAAGAAAATGAAAGCTTGTATCTTGTATTCTACATATCTCTGTAATTTATAAAAATGTGAGAATGAAGGTTAGTATTTGCCAGCAGAAACTTTTATTTCTTCTTTGTCAATCAGGAACTGTTATTCTGCCTGTGGAGCTCTGCTCAGCTACGTTTGTAGCTTCCTGTTTAAATAATTCCAGCGTGACACTTCAGAGTCAGACTCCACAGACCAGAAACTGGGCTAACCAAAGAAGGGCCACTTTTGAAATTCCGAACAAATCTGCAGTCAAGAGACCGACTGGCTCCCTGACCTCCAAAAACCGAGTCGTATCTTGCTTGTTTTCAGCTGCCCCTCGTTGGCACAAACGCCTTTTCTGTTCCCGGTGACCTCACAAGTCGAGAGGCAGGGACGGCAGGCAATCGGCAGGACCGGGCACCTCTCCGTGCCGAGCCCGCCTTGGAGCCCCGCCACCCTCCTCGCCGCTCACGTCACCGCCACGCGCATCTCGCGTGCTCCGGACACACCCCCGCCAAGGGCTGCCAAAACCCGGGATCCCGAACCCCGATTGGCGGATCCGCCCCCGCCTGCCCGAGCGCCCGGGGCTGCCATGGGCGAGCAGGCGGCTGAGCCCCGGCGGCCCGGGGTCGGCGTGGGGGTGGTGGTCACCAGCGCCGCGCACCCCGACTGCGTCCTCCTGGGCAAGCGGAAAGGCGCGCTGGGCGCCGGCACCTACCAGCTCCCCGGAGGCCACCTGGAGTTCGGGTAGGAGCCCCGCCGTGCCCTCCCTCCCCGCCCTGCCCTTCCCTTGCTCCGCCGTGCCCTGAGGCGGCCGTGCCTTGCCTTCCCTTGCCTTGCCCGCCCGCAGGGAGAGCCTGGCGGAGTGCGCGGCGCGGGAGACGCTGGAGGAGGCGGCGCTGCCGCTGCGCCACGTGCGGTTCGCGTCGGCCGTGAACGCGGTGTGCGCGTCCCAGCGCTACCACTATGTCACCGTGCTCATGAAGGGAGAGGCCGAGCCGGGCGCCGAGCCGCGCAACCAGGAGCCCGACAAGAACGAGGGTGAGTTGAGTAATCATCTAGTTCCAAGCGCCGTGCCGCGGGCAGAGACACCTCCCGCTAGATCAGGTGGCTCCGAGCGCCATCCAGCCTGGCCTTGAACACTCCCAGGGATGAGGCATCCACAGCTTCTCTGGGAAACAAAAAAGCTGCTCAGGTAAAATGACTCTATATGCAACAGAGAACCTGACTTTGTATTGGTAGTTTCTATATGATCCATCTGGACTTGAAGAGGAAGAATTGTTATATCACAGAAACAAAGAATATCTTGAGTTGGAAGCGACCCCCAAGCATCATTAAATGCCATTCCTGGCCCTGCACGGGGCAGCCCCAGCAATCCCACCTCATGCCTGAGGAGGTTGTCCAAACACTCCTTGAGCTCTGTCAGGCTGCACTATGGAGCCTATTTCAGTGCCCCACCACCTTTTCCTAACGTCCAGCCTAAACCTCTCCTGCCACAGCTTCCTGCTGTTTCCTTGGGTCCTGACTTAACTCTATACTCTGATTACTCTGATTTTTTTTCTTTTTCCCCTACAGGCTGGGAATGGGTCAAATGGAATGAATTTCCTCCAGCAGACCAATTGTTCTGGGCATTGCGCTGTTTAAGAGAGCAAGGTTACAATCCCTTCACAGAAGAACTCGATCATCTAAAGGGGTACACGGGAAGTCACCAATTAGAGTAAAAACAAAGTGTATGTTATGTGACAAACTAAAGGACAGACCTGCTTTTTTGATGTAGAAGAAAAAAAAGATACGAAGCGCTCACCCTGCCCATGTGAAAATATTGCCTTTCCCAAAGAAGAACATGCCAACTGTTTCAGTGTTTTTCCCATATTTCACACAACAGTTGTCTCTCATTCCAGACCCATTTCTAGGTTTAGCAGCTAACAATTAAGGTTTGCTTTTACAGAAAATTCAGTGTTTTATCTAGTTAATCTTTATATTGATGAACAGCCATTTGGAAATCAGCACTAGCCAGGGAAGCTTACTCTCTTAAAAGCAGTTGCAGCAAAACTTACTCATTTAAACCTGCTTTCCTGTAATTATTGGACCAATTTTAAAACTTAGCCTAGTCTCTTAGCTTCAGTTATGAAACTACTGTCATGAACAAAAGTTACATTTAATAGACAATGCCTTTTTTCCCTGCAGACAGCAGTATACACTTGAAAATCAAAAGACTATTATAAATGTGCAAAGATTGTAATGACTTATTGCAGGGAATGAAAATTCCCTAACCCTTCTTGCCAGTTGCTTTCATAACAGACTTCTGTTATAGCCTCAGTTACATTGAATTTATGTGCAGAAATGTCTCAGATCTCTGCAACTGACCAGAGTTTGTACTGAATTCTTGGAATGCAGAGGTGCCTACTCTACTAGGCTGACACAAATCTCGTTTATAGGTGTAGCTCCATGGCAAAAATCATACTTTGTGGCTAAAAAGAGTTGTCAGTATTAAACAGCACAGATGGGTGCAGTTCTGTACGGCTGGCTATTGAGATTTGGTAAAATTTTGAATTTTCAGTTTGACTGATTAAATGACTAAGTCGTTAGTGAATGAAATTACAGCACCCAACAGTACATACAAAACCAAGGAGTTAATATTTTTAATTTTTCTAGAATCTGTAAGTAATTTTGATTCTTTTCCAGCTGTTGTCATAAGACATCAGCAATTAATTTTAAGATATAACTTTTAAATAAATCACTAGTTGGCTCATTTTTTTTCTTGTCAGGGTTCTTTATAGCACATCTCTTGTCTATTTCCTTTAGATATACTCATTGTACAAAAATGTTGTAAGATATCTTTAATTTCTTTTGAATAAAGTACAGGTACAATACTGAGAGATTAAAATTGCCTGAAGTTATGAACTGACTTCTCAGTTCTTAAAAGAAATCAGCTTGAGGGATTTAAAGCTCTTCCTTGCTTTGAACATACATTTTTTTAAATGGAGATGGCTCTTCTGGCTGAGAAACAGACAGAGTGATGAGTCATAAGGATGCTACTGCCCCTAGCAATCCTCCTGCTTAGAGTTTGAAGTATTAATTACGTGCAACTTCCCTTAGGACAGACACCCGTTCTCTGAAGTCAAGAAAGAAGTAACGTTACACAGCAGTCTTGAAACGGGAAGTTTCTCCAAAAATTGCTACTGTAACTTTGTAAAAAGCTTATTTTTCTATTCAAAAGTGGAGACTTGCTTCCTGCAAGCAACCTTATGTACACTGAAAATTATTCCGTTCAGCTGTCAACACAGAAGCTGTAGGAAGAGTTGACAGATGTCCTGCCCATCTGTCACAAAGAATAATAAAGAAAAAAAAATTAAATTATTTAGTACAATTTTAAATTTTAGAAAACATCTATGTATTGATGAGAAAATAGGGACCACTGTAAAATGGTATGTCATGCAATAAATACTTTCTTGGCATATTTTGCTAATGGTTATATACATTCTATTTCTTGTAAATACACAAGTAGACACTGAAATGAGGACACAAACAGTATCTCCATATGTCAGCATTTCTGTATCTTTTCAAACTGGACCGATTAAAAGACTACAGTGCATTACTGCAACCAGCTGCCAGCAATCCCCAACTTAGATAACTTTGTTTGTATGTATCACACGTTTATATTTCCCACCCCTCCAGAAAATGTGGTTCTCAGTCGATTTTAGCTGCCAAAACTCAGTCCTTTCAACTAAGCCTTTACTTTGATTTTTGGCACTTTTGCCAACTAGGAAAATCTATTATGTACATATCTAAGCCACTGAATAACAGAACACTCAGTTACCATATCATGGTTCACTAAACTGCTTGTAACTGACAGAATTCACTTAAAATGGCTTTATAGTTAGCCAGCACTGAGATGCATACTCCTGAACTGTACATAGTTTGGAGCACTTGATGCAAGGAAACTGATTAGGATACGCGCAGTTTGATTTTATGCTAAGTGAACAGTGGGCAGAGCTGTTGCCTTACCTACTTCTTAGATGTAATATATTGGTCCCATTTAATCCTGTAACAGAGTAACTAAAAGCCAGCAAAAGAAGTGGTCATTGCTTCAGTTCCCTCTTATGTCTGAAAACATTCACCCACCTCCACAATATTTCAGTTGGTTAATTACATAGGTACAGCCATAGAGGAGTTTGGGCAGACTCTAATACTACACTTCTCATGAGTTTTAATTACATATGTTTGTATTTTGTTTCAAGAATTGTTTGTCTTCTAACTTGTCCTTGCAAGTTAGAAGACAAAAGAGGCTGGTGAACTGTGTCTGTGTGATGTGTGAAGAGGGGGCATTTAGAAAGAAAATACGGATCCCATCCCATCATACAAAGCATTAAGAAACTGCATTTGGAATATTATGTATGATTCTGATCACACATGTTTTAAGACAAAAACTAATGTGAGCTAGAAAAGGGACAGGCAAGGTTAACTAGAATGACTGAGACAGCACATGTATTTGGATTAATGTGAATTAAAGAGGAAAGACATTGGGGATAAGCACCCAAGAGGAAAACATGATACTGAATAAAAGTTACAGTATGAATGTATATGAATAACTAAGCTGTGAAAGAGGTGACAGTTTAATAACTCTGAAAATACTTGTAAAAGGAACAGCTGAGACAAAAACCAAATTCCCCATTTCTCTGAAAACAAAACCCACTGCCCCATATAATGTGATTGAATGTGACTGAAGTCCTTTCTACATCCTTACGGGATTTGTACAGGTTGACAGCAATGTTTGAAAGATTACTTGAGCAAAGGAGGAATTACCTGATTCATCAGATACTTCCTGTGAAGAATCTAAAAAATGGAAAAGGGAAGAGAATTGTGATCTATGCTGCAGGAAGCTGTGCTGCAGGACAGAAACCTTTAACTGCCAGGAGCAACAGTTCACATGAGTTTTGAAATTTTATCAGAGGATTACATAAGAGAAAAGCAGCTGTCATAAAATGACTCCTTAAGCAAAACAGAACAAGGAAAGGAAAGCCAAGGGAAGTGCCTTTGGAAAGACAAAATAACATTGCAGCTGAGGCAGGAAATGTAATTGCGAAAGTAAACAAATTAGCAGGTTCAAAGAGCTGAAAAAATTATAGATGACAAGAACAAAAAAAACCTTGAGCACTTTGATCTGAAAGGAGCTAAACCTGCAGCATGCCCCAAAGTGTGTCACCTCCAGGGTCCCAGGACACTTAACCAAGTATTTGGGGCAGCCTTGTGGGTGGACACTTGCTGCTTCAGGGTCTGCCCAGCTTTGTGTGTACCTGGAAGGGCTCACCTGAAAAGGAAGGACAGGCTTTCCACTTCTGACTCCTCCTCAGCTGCTGACTGGGCATTTTGCATAGGGGAAAATGGAGTACAAACTTCTGAAACTCAATCAGAATTCAACCACATACTGGGATAAAATGTGCTGAGTATTGAAGTTACATGGCAACTCATCTAAGATTCAAGTTTGGAAAACTGAATAACTTCAGTTATTCATCAAAGCTGAGTTTATTTATGACAAATCATTCATCATATATTACAATAATTACAAACTCTTTTAGTACACCTTATTGCCATATTTTTGTCCTTGATACACAGACGATCAAGAACATAGATTTAGGCAGTAACAAAAAAAAAAGATACATTACAAACTTCATGTTTCATTTCTGTGGCATAAAAAAGGCTGTCATCAAAAGAGTAAAGTTACTAACAAACATACAAGGGGATTCCCCTTACACATTTTTCTCCCAGGAACTTATGTCATCTAATGTATAGTAAATACATATATATAAATATATATTTACACATGTCTTGCAAACATACATTTACACAATCACTGAAAATCTGACATCTCTCCCCCAGCAGACAGCTCCCAGACATTTCTCCCAGCTCGCAGAACATCTAACAGGAAAAAAACAAGTCTATAGTCCATGGTTTTAAATTAGTCACCCTATTTCTGAGCCAGCTTTTATCTTCTCCCTACACAGGGCTGCTGGCATAACAAAATGATATTGCAGTTTGTGACAAACAGAATCTAATCTACCTTCACCACAGGAAAGGTCTACTGGGGATACTGTCCCCCTTGTACCTAGTCTGAGTCACTGCTGCTGCTTGAGGAGTCTGTTGACATAACTTCTACATCATCTTCATTCTCTTTATTGTGTCCTGGAGGCTCCAGCATGAAGTCATTGCTATGATTAGGAGGTAGCATGTTCATTGACATATCACTTGACTGCCAAGGATACTGAGGAGCAAGCACGTCTGGAAAAAAGAGGCATAATCAAGAAAACTTTCAGTTTTGTATATTGACAAATTCAACATGACAGCTCAACCAGAACTTCAATTTAAAATCAAAATAAATCTTGAAATCCTTTCTAAATTTTGGACAGATTAAACCCTCCAGTAACAGCTGGAAAACATCTCCTGATGGAGCAATTCTATAATTGTAAAAGTCTGCTCTGCCAGAGAGGCCCATTTATGTAGGTGGCTCTTGATAACTCATATACTCAATACAGAGCTTTTCATCTTCAAAGCACAGTTTGAACTGATTTAGCATTCACAACTACTGAGAGTAATGAAAATTATCACAGTCTGTCAGTATGCAAAAATAGATTAAAATATTAGATTAAAAAAAAATAATTCAGGCAGACCATAAAAATTCAGAGAAAAAGGCTTTATCCAAATATGCCCGAAAAGCAGCTCAGAATGGAAGCTAGTGTTTCACATTGTGTGGCCATGCTTCAATGCTAGAACCAGTCTGCTATTAAACCAGGCTGAATGTGTGTGCTAAACAGCCTCAAAGTTTGGAGGCTACCGAGCAGTCCAGAAACTGGTCTGCACATTCACTAAGGACTCAGTAACGGGACATCTCTGCAGCAGTCTCCAAAAGGACTAGATCCCATAATTAGCATTCTCAGGACATGCCTCCACAAACCAACAGATTCAGCATCCCTACACAAAATGCTCAGGCAGCTTCAGCTTTCTTGTAAATCAATGTTTCCCTCTTACCTTTACAGTCTAGTTATGTGAGTGTTTAACCTGATAGAGGAGCCCAAGATTCAATTAAGAATTTTACTGGAGGAGTTTAAATCCCACATTTTCCAGCTTCTCAAGGAAAATTCCAAAAATTCCTGAAAATTCCTTTCAGTTCTTATAAAGACAGCACTCAAAAGTAAATGGATCACATCTGCATCCTCTAAGGCAAAGGAGACAGCCAGAATGGGCTCTACTAAAACATACACAAAAAAATATGCAACTTCTAATTACCTTTCTTTACTAGGTATTCACTGCTAGGGAACAACATTAACCACAATTTTCATTGCTTTACCTCTGATTTGCCTTTGCTAAGGAAAATGTATAACTGCTGTGAATCTACAAGCAATAAAGAAAAACAAAACAAAATTGAGTTCCACTTACCTGGCAGTCTGCCTGCTGCAAGTGCATCCCCTGGTAAGTGTCCATTGACTCCATTGGTGGATGGGTTGTTCATCTGACCCAAGAGACCACTTCTCATTTCCAGATCTGTAGGATATGGCCTACGTGGGTCCCCTTTAAGAAAAAAAGGAAAAAGAATGCTTTGAAATATTTAACAATTGTCTTGCAGACATTAGCTTTAGCTTCAGAGCCTAGTTTAATGACCAAACAACCCCATACTCTGGTTGCTTGGATGAGTAATGAGCATCACACCTGTTCTGTTAAAATCCAAGTCTGTCTTTCACTTAGACTTTGTTCACTCAAACTTGGCAGAAAAAGCATATTAAAAAAACCCCAAACAACCCAAGGCAACTCAAACAAAAAAGAAACCCCATCATGTTTAAAAGATATCTTTGCTCACTCTGCTACTCCACAGCTAAACAGCAAGGACAGGAATTGGATCAAACACATTTTCATTTTGGACAGAGGGTAGTACCCAAAATTGAAATATGTAAAAGTTCTGCTTCTGGCTCCACTATGTTACTATTTCAGAGAATGTTACTAACATTCTCTGAAAGAATATTGTAAGGAGCAAGAGAGAACACAACCAAACACAGAGAAAAGCCTTTAGCATACTTGGCTTTGACTTACAATCAGGGTAAACATTCAGGGGAAAAAGGCAAACAAAGGAGAACAGAGGAGGCCAGTCTGTTAATGAAAGCAGACAGTTTCACAACCTTTCGGAGATATATGTGAAGTCCACAGGATTTTGGATATCTATTTTTGTTGAAATATTAGATCTAACAGCTGAAAACAATGTTATTCTAATAAACCCCAGTGGTTATCACTGTATAAAAACATTTTAAGACCAGATATTAACCATTATTTATTATTAAAAAAATCTACTGTCATAAACACAATAGTTACCTGGTACCCATGTCAGAGGGGCACACACAGCATTGCTAGCACTGATCCTATGGGCATATTTAATTATTTCTTCAGAGGAAATGGCACCTGGAAGAACAGAAAAAAAATGTTGCTGCA